TGTCAGTTTTATGTTATTTTAGATATGTATATTTATAAGATTGTGATGTAATTTCATTTTTTCAGCAGATTATTTTCTATATATATATATATATATATATATATATTATTGTATGTATATGTATATGAATTTAAATAAATAAAAATGTAAAGGTATATAAGAGTAGTCCACAACAAAATGTCATCCTCCAACATGATTTTCAAACAAAAACTTATCATTTAGCCTATCTCATACCTACTCTTATATAAATATGATCATCGCAGTTCAATTACAAGGAAACACAGCAAGGGTAAGCTAGTATTCAAAAAAATAATCATATAACATGTATTGAAGTAAAAAAACACTATACTACCAATACCAACATGTAAATCATAAAATACCACACCTCATGGCTTACAACATAGTCAATAGATCAACAACATCTCAACATAGCATTCAACAACAAACCCACATAGCATATAAACTAAACCATAATCATCACATTATATGCATAACACCTCAACTATATGTGTCATCACACATTCAACTACAAATATCTTCTACAATAAGATGAATAATCTAAGTGGCTTGATCCTATTAAACCAATGCAATATTTTTACACCTGTTAGATCAATAACCAATTTGGATACCAATTCACAACAACATGATTTCTCGAATTTCACCACTTAAACTAAAAAAGTATAGTATCAGTCGTTAGGTATAATATAGTTTGGGTATGGGTCCATCACAATATTGACATGTATTAACTAAGTCACCTATAGATACAATTTGCTAACTATCCTCACGATATCATGCACCTCTCCAGTAATCAGTTAACGATTTTACTTTTCAACTGCATACCTTACTCATAAAATAACTAAGGACCCAGTGGAGACACAACACTTACTCCAAGAGACAACACCACTCAAGGAGGATTTTTTAATAATTGGGCCTTTAGAGTATCTATGGATACAATTTGCTAACTATCCTCATGATATCATGCACCTCTCCAGTAATCAGTTAACGGTTTTACTTCTCAACTGCATACCTTACTCATAAAATAACTAAGGACCTAGTGGAGACACAACACTTACTCCAAGAGACAACACCACTCAAGGAGGATTTTTTAATAATTGGGCCTTTAGAGTATCTGTGGATACAATTTGCTAACTATTCTCACGATATCATGCATCTCTCCAGTAATTAGTTAACGGTTTTACTTCTCAACTGCATACCTTACTCATAAAATAACTAAGGACCCAGTGGAGACACAACACTTACTCCAAGAGACAACATCGCTCAAGGAGGATTTTTTAATAATTGGGCCTTTAGAGTACCACAATATCATATCCTCACAATGAGATATTCAACTTTTTAAAACACCATCTCCCTTAGTCTTTAGTCAATCAATACCACATGCTTAAATGTCTTAAGAATTCTTAGCATCATTGCCCAAACATTTCAACATTTTAATCATCAATATACATTATCTCATATCGATGTATAAAGAACTAACAACATATATCAACCTACAACATATAATAGATACAACCATCACATACATGTTCAATTCATAATTTTTACCAATTCAATCATGTAATGATGAATCCAAGCAACAAACAATAAGCATTAATTTCACAAACTTCCCTTGTTCAATGGCCGCTTCAACTAAAATATGGATTGACCAAACCTCCATATTGTTCCACGTAAATCCTAAAGAAGACACCTTAAAACACCTTCCCATTTAGGAGCTAACCCACTCACTGAAAGATTTTCAACTTTGGCCTCTTTGAGCATCACAAATGATATCCACATAGTGAGATATGACAACTTAAAAAAAAAAAAACTTTTCCTTCTTCTAGTTTTTATGTATCTTAATAGAGACATATATCACAACAACACATGTTTAAACAATTTAACTCCAATCAAATTTAACTTACAATCGACTTTAAAACAACTTAGATAACCATTATACATCATCATAAATCAATATACAATGCACTAACTTCAATAATCATCATACACCATGTAAAACAACCCACACAACAAGATATGTGAAAAAAGATTACAAGTTAAAAGGGGAAACAAGCGCTTTAAGCATCCCAAAGTTCGCTTGGAGTGACTAGAATTTTCTCAGAGCACCCAACAGTTAACTCGAAGTGATCAACATCTAGCTTGGAACACCCAATAGCTAGCTTGAAGCTACTAATAGCTAGCACGAAGTTATTGACAAATAGTTTGAAGTGCCCAACAACTAGTTCAAAACTACCAAAATTCACTATAAGCGTCTATAACGAGTGCTTTGATCGAGCCAAGTCAAAGAGCACTCTGAACGACCTCACATGCTCGCTTTGAGTAACCCCCATAGATGCTCTAAGCGGTCACACTCAAAAACACATGTATGAATCCAAAAACAAACACAACTTGAGAATAACATAACAACTCTATAAATTCTCTCATCCAACTATAAGATTCATACATGCAACTCAAAAATAGTCATCTACTATCATTATACAACTTAAATTTTGAATAAAATACCACATGCAACCATCAAAATACATAAAGATCATCAATTCCTTCATTCTTCCCCAAGAACACTAAGAACACCAAGTTTTATCCTCAATCTCAACTTCAATGCTTACCAAAGCATGAATCATCACGACCAAAAACACCACACACAATGAACTTTTTTTCTCTCTTTTATTTCTTATCTTTTTAAAATTTGTAAACATTATTTTTTACCTATCTAAAATAAATAAAATTTGATTTTGGTTTTTGTAAAATATTTATCATTAGTTTTCATTCTTCTAAAATTTAAAATAATTATTTTTAATTCCTAATAGTCACTTTAAAATATATAAATAATATATGTTTTAAGGATTCATACACTAACAAAATATCATAGAAAAATAATCACATGATTAAAATGATCACTTGAATAATAAATAAGTATCACATGGTTCAAATGATCATTTGTTTTTAGTCCCTAAGTACCACCTAAAATGGTTGTTTGATTTTCTAATAAATAACTAAGTAATTAAAAATGATTGCATAATAGTATGGATTAAAAACATAGTTCAAATTTTAGAAAAATGAAAAATAAAGAAAAAAATTAACATTCATTAAAATCAAAACTTGCTTATTTGGGAGAGACTAAAAATATCTTTAAGATT